ATCAATACCCTTTTCATTATGTATTTTAATGCTTCAAGGTTTATTTTAAGTAATTAAAAGATTAATCTATGTTCATTTTTGTCACAAAGATCCAAACAAAAAAGAACCTTCAAACCTTATAAAATAAGAAAATTCCTTGCCATGCAAATTATTATATATGAGAGGTCACATTAGTCTCTGGGCATTTTAAAGTGCTGCTGTCTGAAATTGCCAGCCCTCGGTTTTTGTGCAGAGGATGTACTCACGAACTTGGTACACACAGACCTCTGGCTGACATATTTCTCGATATTTAGTCAATATCTTATAAAAATTAGCAGTTTTATTCCCTTTTAATCTACAAGTTTAAAATATAAACAAGCTGTATTAAATCATAAAAATCGAATTATTACATTAATGTAGTATATATAAACTCTCTTTTTCTTGTCACATTTCATGTCTTTCCACCCTGGTTGTCATCCTCCTTGACATTGTCCTGTTACTCTGTTACATCTACCAAAGATGCCACAGTTGATGCTACACGTATCAATTGTAGCCATAGCGTACTATAGGACATTCTAGGAGGCAACAAAAACTAATAAAATATATAACGAAAATCAACCCATTGCTTATGGCATGTCAAACGTTGCAATATTCGATCTTTTCCATTTGTATTGTATAACTTTCCATTTGTATTGTATAATTCTTATTTGTATTGTATAATTTTTCATTTGTATTGTATAATTTTTCATTTGTATTGTATAATTTTCAATTTGTATTGTATAATTTTTATTTGTATTCTATAATTTTCCATTTGGATTTTATAATTTTCCATTTGGATTGTATAATGTTTATTTGTATTCTATATTTTCCATTTGTGTTGTAAAAAAAAATCATTTGTATTGTATAATTTTTCATTTGTATTCTATATTTTCCATTTGCATTGTATAATTTCTTATTTGTATTGTATAATTTCTTATTTGTATTTTCTCAGTCAGCATTCCTAAGGACAGATTATTTATTTGCCATCTACCAGCTCTCCCTTTTTAGAATCCAATGACCGTCTAACATGCACGCAAATACATATGCCGCCGAAATATGGCTGAAATATTGCCGACTCGGCGTTAAACAATAATCAATCAATCAAGCAAGCAAATACATATGAGCCCAGTTTGCTTTGAGCATCCGGAACATCTTCAACCCGATACAGGCTGAAACTTGACCAATGAAATCCTTCGTAACGAAACAAATAAACAGTCCGCGGATACAATACAAATGAAAATTTATCGCATACAAATAAGAAATTTTACAATACAAATAAGAAATTATACAATGCAAATGGAAAATTATACAATACAAATAAAAATTATACAATACAAATGAAAATTATACAATACAAATAGAAAATTATAGAATACAAATAAAAATTATACAATACAAATGAAAAATTATACAATACAAATAGAAAATTATACAATACAAATAAAAATTATACAATGCAAATGGAAAATTATACAATGCAAATGCAAAAGATCGAATATTGCAACGTTTGACATGCCATAATTGCTATTTCTGCATTAAAAGGTCTTCTCTTGTGATTGTTTTTTTGTCAAACTGTTACAAAATATTTTAGAGGGATTTACTTCGTTTTTAAATCTGTCAAAGGATAAAAAGGAGTCCATAATGGATTTATCTTGATATACCAAAACATGTATTAATAATAATGAAATAGATACACAAGATAAATTATATATTCTAATTGAAAATCACAAATATTTCGGTATTTTTTTCTCTTATTTTCTATTACTGTAGATGTACCTTTCCATGCGGGACTGCAGATAAAACCCATCACCTTTTACCATGTTAACGTTATGTCGACAAGTGTATTAAGATCAGTGACTTGTTTATACCTTGCTGTTTGGGATTTACTAGTGACAAAAATGATTACAGTGCTAAGTTTTGATATAGTTCATTACTCTTTTAAAGTTTGAAAATTTCAACCCAAATTACAGTATTTCATTTTCTGATATTGTGAGGAATTGCTATATTTGTGTTACGATACAGTGAACATCTTCCGTGTAAATTAGACCCTGTTCCCTTAATGTAACCTTCACAGTGCTGCGTTTTTTTTTGACTTCGACACTATTTGGACAAAAAGAAAGATTCTTGTATACTAAAAGTTTATATTGCCTTTTCCTGATGACATTACAAAATAGGTGTTTAAATACTTTACGATCGTTTGTGCGCCATTATTAACAGGCCTGCATTTATATTTTTGTGAAGAACAAGTTATTCAAAAACATCTACGGAAACAAAAGTCTATTGTTACTGCCTTCAGTTCGATAGGTAGATATACTGACGACGTTTAATTAATTAAAATTATTTATTTTCTTTTATACGTTGATTCGCAGCTCCGTTAAGGCTGCATAAAGAGGGAAAAGTTTACTGTGACATCACACAAATATAGCAATTCCTCACAATAACAGAAAATGAAATAATTTGCGATTCTAAACTGCATAAGAGTAATGAACTACATTAAAACTTACCACTGCATTCATTTTTGTCGCTAGTTAAATCCCACACAGCAAGATATAAACAAGTCAATGATCGCAATGCACTTGTCGACATGACGTCATCAGGTAAAGTTTGACGCATTTTTTGTGCGGTGAGAGGAGGATCAAGTAATTTTTTCACAGCGAAAAATGCATTTTATTATTAAACAGAATATTACTTGCAAATCTTAGGTAGACCATTAAAACAAATCTGAAACGTTTGTTTAGTGCCATTATTTAAAAAATATCGACAGAATGTATTGAATTAATTCTATCGTGTTTTTGTCTACAGGGTGTGCATGTTTCACGGCGAGGTGCCTCATTAAATCGCCTTTTCGCAAGGGCATACACTTAATAGATCGGGACCATTTTTTGAATACACATAACGGACATATTCCTTAACTTGAAAAGTGCTGCTGCTTTCCTGAAATCGATAGCATAATTTAATAAATACATAAAATACTTGGTAAAGGTCACACATATTTCGACATTAGCCAGATATCTTGAAATTAAAACTAATAAAATGCGAATTCTATTTAAAGCAGCAGCACTTTCCATTAACTACAAGTTATGTAGAAACAATCTATTACTTTAATTTTTAATTTTAACTAGGGTATGCCCTTGCGATATTGAAATTTGTTTGTGACCTAAATACAGTACACATTACATGCATTTATCACGTGACTGTTAAATAACGTGACTAAACCAGATTCAGTTCAGAGCGGGGTATACAATGTTATTTCAAAGAATGTTAAAGTCATAAGATAAAATAGTACCTTTACAAAAATAAATTCAGTTTAAAAAGGTATGTATTTATGCACGTTTATATTCTGTTGATTTCTTCGAAGTACGCCTTAACAGTGCTGCGTTCTGTATATCTCACTGAACGCAAAATAATGGACACCTGTAGTCTGACACATGTGCTTTGTATTCTCCTAGAGAGAGCTATTGACGGCAATCTAACAACTTAACTATATAACACACGTAATGACTTCTACTTTTCTATCGTTAACGTTCCTTATTTATGTAGCTATAAACCAATATCAGTTTAACACATGAATATGAGGTTTATGTCTCCCAGTTGATTCGAAGCACACATATTTATAACGTAGTATCAAATTAATTTTGCACTTTTGAAGCGGCACTTTTAATCAATTTTGATTAATTAATCAGTTAATTTTAGCGTACCTCACTTGTACCAGCCCTTGTTTTGATGCACACCTTGTCATATTTATCAATAAGCGTTCATGCATAGATGTGTTTATATCTGTGTATTTTTTTTATGTTCAATAAATAAACATTTTTTTGATGTAAGGATTTAAATAAAAATCATATCTTATATTAAGTGTTTTTCCTCTGCATAAATTGTTTTTCATTTACCATTATCAAAATATACATATAAACCACGGACCTGTCATAACCTACATGTATGTATATAAAAAAATATCCTTTCTAGTAGTTTAATAGTCGTACAGTGTGTAGGCACTTCAATCATTTTTATTAATTTTGCCATTCGTGGCGTGGTGTTCTGCAATCCATGTAAGTATAAAATTCAAATATTGTTCTTTTTTTCTAAAAGGTATTTGAAGGTATACTACTGTGGCTAAAGTATAGGTCCCTTTTATTTTATACTTGGTAACATATTACAAAAATTCCAATACTTCAGTAACTTTTCGTGTATCGAGTGTTTTGTTTAGCTTCTTGTTGTTTTATTGGTAAAAATATGCCATTGCTTTTGACCAATACTGAGAAATCACAAATCGTCTTGAGGGATTTTCATTGTTTTCGAGGTATGAAAAACCCATGAATGCATTTCCACCACGAAATGTGATATGTCATACTACTCAACAATTCTTCATCCTCGAAATCAAACCCCCATGAACCCATTGTGTTTTCTCAAACCACGACAATCTGACCCTTCGAAAATACATGATTTTACAGTATACTTTTTCTGCACAAAAAATAAGGAGGCATAGCAACATATGATAATGCACGAGCTGAACTTTCCTGCAATTATATACATACATATATATATATATATTTATATATATAGCGTTTTAATAGTCCTATTATTTTAACCTTTCCCACTCTTTTTACATCAGTGACTGATCATATCCTTTCTCAACTTTTATTTGTAATAATAACTACGTTGTTGGAGATCACGTTGCGTTGTCAATGCAAATAAAATAGTCACTTCATTTCTGATTTAATCCAAAAAGTTAGCGGGAACAAATGATCACCGCACCATAACGGAAATTCTAAGAAAATGTACCCCCCCCCCACCCCCAAATGGTTTTGTTTGAAGCTATTATCTTAATGCTTCAGATTTAAAACTCAACGAGAAGTTTAACTAACACAGATAATAATCGATTCTCCATCCTTGTGTTCAAAATTGAATAGTAATTATTTCCAGACATACAATGTTTTCTAAAATCCATTCTAAAATCAAATGGCATACGCAATGTGGCATTGTTGTGACATTTATTCAAATTCAAATATGTTTTATAGATTTACATTATATATACATGGGGCTAAGATATAATTGTTAAAAATGAAAAAAAAAGTTAATATAACGAACAGTGATCGATCTCACAAAAATCTACAAACAATACACAACTTTGAAAATGGCATAAAACACGGATCCCCGGTTATTGCAGAGGTGGGATCAGGTGCCTAGGAGTAGTAAGCATCTCCTGTCTACCGGTCACACCCGCCTTGAGCCCTATGTAATGATCATTCTTTTCCATTTCTTGAATTGAACATTTAATGGCTTTCAAACAATAAATCAGCTTCATGATATCATGAACCAATGTATTGTATAGGACTTTTTTTTCATTTTATGTTCGAATTGCACAAGTGCATCTAAACTTGATAGTGTTGATATTTTTGACGTATAATTGATAGCCTCACATTCACACCTTTCACAAACTCCCAGTTTCAACTAGTGTAATTGATCATAATGAGAGGTTTGATTTAATTGAGCAAGTTCTTCGTACAAGTATTCTTCATTGTCATCTATTCTGTCATAGATCTGTATGTTAGGCGTGGTTTGTTCCGTGGATGACTGTTCTGTACTTTTCCCATGATGACCGTGTCCTTGTGCAACCTTATTTCTACATATCCTATTAGTAAAAGAAAACTGTATAAACCATACCAAGTAAAAAAAAAAAACTGATTTAACATTTCACCGAACTTAAAAGCAGATTTGATAACATGTACCATGGAATACAAAACATGTTTTTCAAGAAAGAAATCTTACCGTATGATTAAAATGATGTTTAAACCAACACTTGAGCAAAGAGAAGAAAGTATTCCATACAAAGAATGATAGCACTGGCTGTTTGTGTCAGAATCTGAATACTTTCCAATTACTGTAACAATATAATAAATAATTTTACATTTCACCGAATGAATTTAAAACTCACTGAATCGTTTCGAAATGGATGGGGCGATTGTAAGTTAAATTTACTTTGATTAGACTAAAAATTACCTTCCAGAATAAGCAGTAGTGAATTTAGAACGTTTATTAACTATTTCCATCGATTATCCAGGCATATTTTCTTCCATTTAAGGTAAGATATGACTTTTAAATACTTCATTTTACGTTGATTTTATATTCAAGTGATTTCTTGAGGCAAGATCGGTGTGCGTATTTGCTAAACTAAACTAAAAAAGCAATAAACATATTGCTGCTTTTTCTTTCAATACACAAATTTATATGTGCAAACAGAAGACTCCCTCTATGATCCCTGTAAAAATAACAACTATAATTCTTATAAGGTCATGTTAATCTAACTACAAATGTCACATACAAAAGCTTCTACTTTAGAAAAAAAACTCCTGCTGTGACCCTCATCTCCGTATTCAAATATTTTGAGGAATTTTTATCAATTAACAATAGTTATTTCCATTCATGTGTCGATTCGATTTATCCTAATGAACTCAAAATAAAAGATACCAAAGTCTTCCACATCTGTTTCATATTTGGATGTCTAATTCTAAATTATATGACAAATGATATGACTTCAGCTTTTCCATCGTCAATTTTCCACATTTCTCGTATTCGTTGCTTAGATAAAGCCGTTGCAAATATTGTAATTTTTTTGAAATCAAATGAAAGACCTAAAACGTTTTATAGTATAGGGGAGCCCAACCGTGGATATTAATCCTCGCGAACCAGTTTTTCATTGGTTATTTGAAAATACTGCGAATAATTATTGGTTTACTGTAAATATCAGTAGTCTTCCTCGGTTTCAAAATTAATCGTATTCAGAACATGCTCTTCAGGATCTAATAATCTGAGAATCGAATACACAACGTGCAGTTAATAGTGACAAATACTATGTAATTAAGGAAAATTGAAGATGGAAAAGTTGAAGTTATATCATTTGTCATATAATCTAAATTATAAAGAACAACATCGTATGTGATCTGTGGCCATTGGAGCGTTGAAGTGTGAACTTTCAGTTTCATTGTTTTCACAGGGAAGTAGTAACTGTACCTTCCCTGTTTTAGTAATTTATGGGGAATTATAGGTGTATGTACTTCCTTTTGTGTATTCCACCGCGCCGTTACAAGGTTCCCTGTGTGTTATAGGGGACTGAATATTGGAGATTTCCAATGGATTTCATAGAGGAAATGAAATTAAATGTAAATATTATTATTATTTATATTTGAATACCAATAAAGATGTATTTGAAAATAAACGGTAACATCCTTTTCATTTTGAAAACATCCACTATACATCTTGCCTCCAATCACTGTCCCACATACAATTATGATATTTACATGATTAAAACATGGCATTGGCAGTGACTGGATCACGACTTAAAAAATCTACGAAATTAAAATGTTCAGGAATCTCGCGGATATTTCTCGCAAACGTATAAAAATTGGATTAAATAAGTTGAAGTTACAGGAATTTCATCAACCTTGTTTGAATTTACGGCATTTAGTAAATTTTATGGCATTATAATGACCTTCTTAGCAATTATATCTATCATTGGGCAGTAATTTGGCTGACCTGTTTCATACCAATTGTTAGGCATCTGTTTTCTACTTAATTTGACTACGGAATATTCGGCCTAAGTTACATGTATCAATACATAGGATTCAAGACGAATATGATCGGTTGACAAGGAATGCTAAGGCTTCTTAGGCATCTGATCCCACCCCTGAAATTTCTGGCGGTCCGTGTATTATGCCCTGTTCACAAATTTTTATTGTTGGTTGATTTATTTTAGATTGTTCACTGATCACTTTTACTAAAATTAAAAAAAAAAAATAGAAAACAAAGATAAATAAATAAATTAAGAAAAAAAAAAAAAAAAAAAAAAAAAAAAAAAAAAAAAAAAAAACTTGATAATCAAACAGTGTAGATCTAAAATGTTATTCTTTTTTTTTTTGATTCCAAGATGAATACATTTTTTGATTAATCTTTTATAATTTGAACATGGAATTTAATGCTTTTAGTATCTTGTAGATTGCTTTCATATGGGAGTCAACCGACGTCCGCTGGCTGAGACCGGATTTGAAAATAAACTTTTTACATCTAGTATAACGTAGAAAAGTCTGTAGTGAACAATGTTATGAATGGCAAGATCAGGTTTGTCGTGTGTACATTATTTCAAAGTAACTGAAAATATTGTCGGATTTCTTTTGTTTAGAGAATTTTGACATTAATTTCGAAAAAAACAAAATGTTCACTAGGAAGTATCGAGGACCAAAGGGCTTCATTAGAATAAGAAATGTCATTTTCTCAACAATATATGTGCCTTTTGTTTTTCTTTTGTACTATACATTCAATAACATTTTAGTTATATCTACTTACAAATTTGTTACGCAACCATATTCATCTAGTGATAGATACCAAAATTATGTATCACAAAACATCTTTAATAACATTTTAGACAAAAATTCTGAAAGAGATATAGATTTCTTCTAAGTAATAAATTTATAGATAAGCATCTGTTTGAGAGAAAACAAAAATATGCCAACAAGGTCATATCTTTGTACTTACATATCCCTGATATTGTGTCACATCCCTGAGGAACACTGCAATTGCTACACGTCTCTTGATAGTTGTATCCAAAACATCCATCCAGACATGCTGATAAAGATATTGATTAAAATGGTCGCAACAAGTTGATTATTATATATTTGTGTATCGAACCTTTTATTTTTTATCTAATACAGTGTACTTTTTTATATGCAAAAACTTAAAAACTTACGACTTTTCAACTTTATACACAACCATTCCCCACGATAAATTAAAGTCCAGGCTTTTTGATATCATTGACAGCTGCTTTTTCAATAAAAATGAAACTCGTAAATTTACTTACCTTGTCATTGGTCATTTGCAAAATTATTTTGTTAAAAAACATTCTGATTGTACACACAAGTACTCTGAAGTTGACATTAAAAAGATGCTTGAGTTTCTGATTGACAATATCTATGTGGTTTTTGGAGACCAGGTCTTCCAACAATCTATTGGAATTCCCATGGGCACCAATTGTGCCCCGTTATTAACAGACCTTTCTTTGTATTCATATGAAGCAGAATTTGTCCAAAATCTTATACGTGAAAAGAAAATAACACTTACTGTGGCCTTCAACTCGACATTTAGATATATCGACGACGTATTGGCTATTTCCATTGTTACGATACGATATATCCCGGTGAGCTTGAGATAAAAGATACCACAGAGTCTGACACATCTGTTTCATATTTGGATATTTTACTTGAAAAGGACGTTAATGGTAATCTTACAACCAAGCTTTATGATAAACGTGATGATTTTAACTTTTCAATCGTCAACTTCCCTTACTTATGCAGCAATATACCTTCATCACCTGCATACGGGGTATATATCTCTCAGTTGATTCGATACGCAAGAGCATGCTCTACGTATGTACAATTTCTAAAACGAGGTAAATTATTGACAAACAAGTTGATGAAACAAGAATATCAGCTGTCTCGTTAACAGTCATCATTTCGTAAGTTCTATGGTCGATACAATGACCTTGTCAGCAAATACAATTTATTATTGAGTCAAATGCTGACTGACGTTTTTCATACAAATTGTTAGGCCATTATTTACACACTGAATTGTCGACGGATTTTTCCGTTATTTCCCGATCATGACAAGGAGCACACGGCGGGTGTGACCGGTCGGCAGGGGATGCTCACTCCTCCATGGTACCTGATCCCACCTCTGATATTTAGAGGCCTGTGTTTGCTCTGCTCCTATTTTGTATTGTTTAATGGACTTTTGAGCTTGAATACTGTTCGTTATCTCCATATAATTTATGTAACAATAATTTAAAAAATACACCCACCTTCAGTACATTTTTCTCCATAAAATCCTTTGTCACACCCTTTAAAACATGTTCCATTTATGTGGTGACATTGTTCTGAATTAAAACACAAACCACACGACTGATTACAGTCCTGTCCGTACATTCGCCCATCACATTCTACAACATTCAATATATAATTACCTCTTCTTGATCTAGGCAGTAAGATAGAATCTGTATATGTAATGAATAAAAAGATCCTTCCTATAAATGATGAATGCATTAATTTGCAGAAAACTAGCCTTTACTCCAACAAAAATTTATAGTTAACTATAGTTATATATTTGATAATTTGGTTTACAATGAAACTTTGAGATTTTTTTTTTGAATTTTAAAGCTTAAAATCTCTTAAATTTGACAACAGTGTATAATTTAGAGAACATGAAATGTAACAATCTGAAATCCATAGAAAAAATACTTGATTTACTATAGTTAAAACTTTGATTTACTATAGTAAAAATTTTGATTTACTATAGTTAAAATTTTGACACTATAGTTATCTATAGTAAACTGTAGTTAACAATAGTATTTTTGTTAGGGTATATACATGTACGTTATGATACTGTGAAACTATAACTATCTGAGATAAAAAAAAATACAGGTAATAATAAAGTTACTGCAGTTTTATGTAGGTATGAACTTAAAAATGAAATCAATAATATTTGTTGCTTACATACTTTTTAATGAGTATCCAATTAATCCAATTTTCTCTATAAAATATTATTTGGTGTACTGTCAAATGCATTCTGGTCATACAACTTAGGAAAATTGTTTTGAAAAAAAAATTAATAAAATGACATACCCTTCTCACAGAATCTTCCCTTCCACCCAACTTTACAACCAAACTTACAGACACCAGTAAATCTGTTGCAACCTTTACAGTTTGGTTTGCAGAGTTCAACACAATTCTTCCCATTTGTACCATAAGGACATGCTATCAGAGAATAAAACTTCTGTCTAAAATTATATAACTATGTATCAATGTCCAAGCTATCTTTGTGTGTGTTAATTATAAGTAAGATTTATTAAGCTATAAATCTTAATGTTATATAATCCTTTACACAGAGTTCTAACTTCCATGTCGTCACAGTATATATATATAACAGTAGTTTTCTATTTTCAAAAAAAAAGTCTTAGGAATAGATTATGTTCCAGCAACCACATGTCATGTTACACTCAAGCCATATATATTTATATTACATTCTGTTTATTAAAGAAATGCCTTTTATTAAACACTGAAATATATCAACATTGTATGCGAGAATAAAGAGAACTTAGCAACTTAGAAAAGAGAAATTTTGGAGTATCTGCATATTTTTCCAACTGAACATACATACTTATATATATATTTTTTTAAAAAAATATTTCACTCTGTTGTTTTCCTTCATGTATGGAAGGCCACATTCGGCTCCTGAATTTTTTAGAAATACTGTAAGATAGAGTACTTTCGTTCAAAAATAAATGATATTTTGTAAATTGAACATAGACACTAAATTGCACGTGCTTTGTTTTGAAATAAACTCATACTGTTATTTCCCTCTCAACCGGACCAATTTTTCTTTGGGTACAAAAATTGTTTAAGATAAAAGAACAAAGGCATACACTTTAGATTGCTAATCATTGAATTCCATCAGCAATTTGAATTAATTTGTGGTTTAACAACATTTAATTATTTCTTTTAAGAATAAAAAATAGGGATTTATTCTTATCCTTAGATAATTTAACAGCTTAAGCCAAAGAGCCGGTTTTCCTACATTAAATATAACCGGTCTTGGTAGCCTAGTGGTAGGATGCTCCTTCGTGATCTGGAGGCCCGGGTTCGATTATCTTTTGTCAAACCTAAGATGTAAACATAGGTACAATGTAGTGACTCTTCCTTTGCCAAGCTCCAGCACAAGAAGTGACGTTAAACAACATACAACATACAATCAATCAATCCTTCATTAAAAGGTGACAGTAGGGTAAAATAAACAATCTGCAGTAGCGGATAGTTAGAAAATAGACCTTAATTAGTGACCCCGAATCCCTGGTCAACTAATAAGAATTTATACATAGGCTACAGTGACATGTCTCGGTGATGAATTATTTTTACATGGTAAGCACGTACAATTAATCCATCTTTAAGACACCTTTTAGCTACCTTTATTCACTCATTAAGGAGTATGAGCAATGACAATGACAATGACCTTGTCAGCAAATACAATTTATCATTGGGTCAGGTGCTGACTGACGTTTCTCATAGTGGTTGTTGGGCCATTGTTTGCGCACTGGGTTGTCGACGGATTTTTCTGTTGTTTCCCGATCATGACAAGGAGCACACGGCTGGTGTGGCCGGTCGGCGGGGGATGCTCGCTCCTCCATGGTGCCTGGTCCCACCTCTGGTGTTTGGGGGTCCATGTTTGCTCTTCTCCTGTTTTGTGTTGTTTAATGGACTTTTGAGCTTGAATATTGTTCGTTATCTCCATATATTTCATGCCCTAATGGAAGCTTAATGATGGTGTATATATTACTTACCGACAGTCTACTTGTGCCTTAAAGGTGACTTAAAGGCGATTTTTTTAAATTAAGCATTAAGCACCTATCAGCCATCCTTAAGTCAATCTTAAAAGGAAGTGTTTTATTTTCTGAGAGTTTTTTTAAAAAAATATTGTATCCAAAAATAAATACACAACGCGGACAAAAATCAAGGTAAATCCTTTGCAGGCACTTCTCTGAAGTACAAAAATATGATGTCAAAATGGCATATGACGTCTATTCACTGCAAATTTGAGCTGTCATGACGGGGAGACTGTCAAGTTCTAGATGCACAGGCTAGTCATTCCGTCTTAATTTTGACAAGAAAATGTTTTTACCCTCCAAATATTGTTAACGTGTAACAGTTTATGCACATGATCGCCTTTTAAATATTCATATTCCTTTGTATTCATTGCTTATATTATCATTTACTATTCATATTATCCAACATGATAATTTAATAATATTTCAGACTTTATGAGATCCTTATTCTGATTTCTTCAAAATTCATTTTCAAGTTTTCCCTGTATTCAATCGCTTTAGGGAATGTGAGAACTGTGATGGAATCCTGTGAACACTAAATGCGCTACCGTTTTACACACACAATAAAAGTTATTACAGAACAAGTGGCCTTTATTATATGCTTCAAAGTGGAACTTAGTCATGCAAAGGGAAATGTGTTCTACTTTTTATAAAGTCAAAGCATAAACATAAGTTAGTCACTAAATTTGCATATTTTCTTCAAAGGGCAATAAGATGAGAATTTGCACTCTTTTCTTTACAAAAAAAATCACTATTACTGGAACGTTTTTGTATACGTACTTTCGTTACATCGTGAACCTTTGTATCCAGTAATACACCCAAGACACGTCCCATCCACAATGTTACAATGTCTGTCTTGGCAATTCTGAGGACATGGTAAGTCACAATTTTCTCCGTAAACATCAGAGATTGAGCATCCTATTTAAATATAAGTTAATAATTATAAACGACTACATAAACATTTAAATCATTCCACAGTTCACATTTTTAATTAGAGAAGAAATAAGAAACTAAAAGGAGATTGGGTGTGTCGAAGCTGTAGAATTATTTTTTTTTTTTCGAGAGGAATAAAAAGTGAAGGAAAAAAAAAAAACTTGGAAATTATTAAAATTCATTTCCTCGAATTTAAGCAATTGATATTAAGTCATAGTCAAACTTGTCATGTGAGGAATTATGCGGGTATATTAAAGCAGTGCCACAACTACTATTCGGGATGGTGTTGACAATTCGCCTGATCAATCTATTCTTTAATTGAGGGTTAGAAGTTAAAAAAAAAAAACTTCATCCAAATAATAATCCCACTTTAAATAGCCTATTCCCTTGACAACAAGAAGAATTCTGGATAAGGAAACTAAGCACGGCCATTCCGTATGATTCCAAAGACCACATAAATAATGTAGAAAATAATTCAAGCTCTCTATGTGCCAATGTGTATGTGATTGGACTTTCTAAAAATACACATAGACTAAGTGTAGGCATGACAATTGATCATACAATATACCAAATAAACAGGATGTCTCTTTTGATAATTTTTTACCTTACGTCAATAAACAAATAAGTCTTGATCACATTCGCACTAAACATTACGTGGCTTCCTTGAGAATTTTGAATGTATTTCCTGTTTCTGAAGAAGCTAAAGCAAGTCCATTCTTGTATTCTTGAAATGCAGAATACAATGTAGTGTTTGTTATAACGGATGTTGCACACAACAGGCTCTTTCAGCCAGCACATGTGTCGGAAGATAATAACTCTGATTCAGCCCGTCGTTTCCTTAACCCTTTCACATTTGTTTCGGTCAAATTTGACTGATAAGCCTTTTTTCTGTAATACTTTGCCAAAACAAAAAAAAACTTAATAGTTTCGTTCATAGTTAATAGATAAAAAATGAAGATAACGAACAGTAATCAAGCTCAAAAGTCCATTGGAACAATACAAATCGGATCAGAGCAAACACGGACCTCTACAAAAAACATCAGAGTGAGATCAGGCGCCATGGAGGAGTAAGCATTCCCTATCGACTAGTCACATCCGCCATGTGCTTCTTTTGTCATGGTCGGGCAACAGATAAATCCGTAGACAACTCTGTGTTTAAATGAATTAGTATGAAAAAAGTCAGGCGGTAGGCTGATAGACTGACAAGATCATTGTATCGGCCATAGAATTTGCAAAATGATGACTTTAATCGAGAGTGTTTATATCATTGTTTCATCAACTTGTTTGTCAATAGCTTGTCTCGTTTAAGAAATTACGTGGAGCATGCCTTGTAGATCGAATCAACTGGGAGATATAAACCCTACATGCTGTTGATAATGGTATACTGCTACATAAGTAAGTGAAGTTTTCAATAAATCAGTTATCATTTTCATTGTGAGACTCTGTAAAATTTAGTTATATGTAAAACAATTATGAATTGTAAATAATTAATTCCTTGATTAACGGTTAACTCTGATTAAACTGCGAGAAAAAACTCCGAAATTATGATTTTCATTAATGTGCGCTTTTTACAACATTCGTCGTCTTTGTTAAAAAAAAAAAAAAAAAAAAAAAAAAAAAAACAGAAGTAAAGCTTCGAAATAAATCTAAAAATCAGGACATTTGTAATAAATTATTTATATAATTTTTTTCACAGACATGTAGCGATATAATTGAATTTTTTGGGGGGTTTAATATGCAGTAAACAAACTGGTATTGGCGTAAAACATAAACAATCAACTTTAGAAAGGTATCGACAAAAAGTAGAAATGTGATCGGCAAATGTAAATTGAGTTTTGAAAAATATGAGTGTAGCTTACATTTTGGATTATTTTTGAGAGTTGTCAGTTGAATAAATCGTATTCACATCAACATTGAAAAGCCAATTACATTTTAATTTTCGAGCAGTTTGCGCGAAAGAAAAAAGAGGTGCACCGAGCACTTAAAAGGTATACATTTGGCAGATAAAATGGAATTTGGCGATTTTCTGTCTGAAGAAGGAGAAGATAATCTTGATTTATTGTTGAGTGGAAAATTTCTGGATGAAACAGAATGAAATGACAAACAGTTCGAACGATCAAACCCCCATCAATTCGGGTAAGTAATATCCAAAGTGAAAGGAGATCTACAAATATACAATTATACATATACAAACTGGAGAAAAAAAACAACAAGAGGAAGAAATTTATTTTAACTGTGGTTACTTTGAAAGATGATTATATCGGGGAATATATTTTTGATCTAACAGATCGTTTTCCTTCAAACTTACTTTTGTTTCCACGCGTAAATAAACACTCCGAGCATGCCTAGGGATATTGTATACTGAACATACATGGCCTGTAGAGTGAGATAATCAATTGCTCCTTCACTACACAGCTAAACGTTTCCTATAAATACCATGTGCTGTTCACTGTAGTAAACAACCATACTCTTTTTTTTACCTATGTTCAAGGTTGATTAATTTTCAGCAAAAATATATTGGTCAGTCAGACACTAGGCATAGTCGATTTATTGATGAAGAATTTTTCACTCATATTGAGACGTCACCATATACGCTTGAAAGGCAAAATAGTGGAGTAAATGCTGATGCATTTTTTGTACCTTTGTATGGAGAAAACGGAACTTAACAACATAATTCAATGTTGTGATGGAATAGAACAGGAAACTCCTCAACCAGGGATACAAAATTTATACGATGTATTAAGATTCATCCCCCCCCCCCCCCGAAATTTGGCTACAGATACTTACAAAAGAAAACTTATCTCATATATGCTGTAAAACAAACAACAATAGAGCTACAGTATGCTTTCTTGAATTTCATTGAATTGATTGAAAAGGTGTCCTTGCAAAGACAATTCCTTTTTGTAAGTGCAGTGGAGAGACTGTAATAGTGTAAACATTATATCTCCTATCTATAATGGTCTTGCAATCGGACATTGCCAAAGAACTGAAAATGAATGGTCAGGCTGCAAGAAAAAGGTGCTAGTGCGATCAATGGTTGTTCAGGATTACAACATTAACACAGGAAGTGTTGATAAATCAAACCAAATACTGAACAAGTATTCATGCTACATCAAGTTGGTCTTTCATAGGAGGAAAGTTTTTTTTTTCTTAGTATAGACATTATGATTGTGATTTTTTTTAATCTTTCTTAAGAGTTTCATGAAGAATAACATTGAATGTTCAGTTCATGAGGTCTCAGCAACCTTTGGCCAGCTTAAATACTGTTAGAGTTTAGCCATTTCATTGATGGGTCTGGATGTGAATCACCAAATGCATTACCGTGCTAAGGTTTGTGTTGATCATTGCTTACCAATGATATCAGAAAACTGCAGAGACTGCGTATGCTGAAATGGGGAAGCTTCAATGCTAAGACAGAAAGTTCAAAGTACCAAGACCCACTAATATTGTGCAAATTTGAAGTACCTGTTTATCATCAAAAAGAAACCTGGGTGGCATTCTCCAGAGGGAAGAACAATTCAGACTTGGGCAGCGATAAAGGAAAGATGGGGAAACTTGGAGTTTTAAGGCTAAGGTTTTTCAGCATGTCCATTCCCAACAACAAAACCGTAAGAACAATGATGTCTTAACCTGTATACTATGTATGTTGCAATCTAGGGATGAACAATAAAAGAACTTTAGTTTGGCTTGAGACTTGCCAAAATACTTATAGATAACCAAGATTAACTGATGTAAGATTTGTAACCTTCGATTCCCCCCTCCCCTCCCCCTCCCCCCCCCCCCCCCCCCCAAAAGTGAATCATTGATTTATACATTTTCCGTTTTGTACAGCTATGTTAAGGCTTCCCGAAGCTTTAAAATGCGCTTAAAACATAATAATTCATTGCGAGGTCGGTTTTGGTTTTAATCTAAAAGTATTGTACTTTAGTACTTCCAATTTATGTAGAGGGTTCCCTCGGCTATATATTAACATATTTGTTATGATATAACATAACTTTATAGATCACGTGACGGTCATTTATAATTTTCAAAATTTTTTTCACATAAATCGCTTCGGTGCAGCCGATTAACACAATACTTTTAAACATTTTGTTATATAAATAAACTCATCGCATCCTTGTGTACCCGAAATGTGCTTGGGAAAAGTCATAGTATTACTTCGGTACAAAATATTCCGTGAAAAATTCAACTTACCTACAAATGCGAGGGTATTTTCAGATCAATATTATAATCTGTATATAAATAAAGCCATCACACATTTTCCCAAGCAAGATTTAGATAGAGAACAACCTATTGCTACAGATTCCCACAAAAAAATCTCATCTCAGATTAATCCTCATTAATTACCTGCGCCAGACTCTATTATACACACAAAATAAATTCTACCTCCAACCACGGGTATAAAATTGAGTACATTTCAAAAGTATATTTTTCATAAGCATTTTGAACATGTTGAATTTCAATCAAGGGTACGAAGTTGATGTATTTTTAAAATATTCGGACACATAAGCCTTAAAAATCTTTAACGACTCCTGAATTTTGCAATAGCTATCTAGCATTTCACATGCAGTATGAAATAAAGTGTTAAATTCTTGACACTCTCCACGTCATAACACTTCAAGCTGGCAGTAACTTGACGTCATTTTCCATTATGACGTCATATTTTGGTAGTTCGGAGAAGTGAAGACACAGAGTGCACTCTGATATTCTATTTGAAGCCTCCACCTACCTGCGTGAAATAAATTAATACCTTTCGTCAAAATTGTTGCATTCAGTTTCTTCTTGATAATAAGGAAATATTTTCTTTATTTCAGTGACCAAGTTCTAATATAAGCATTTTTTAAAAATTCTTACATATGATCATTTCAGCATTCCTTGTATCCATTTCTTTGAAAAAATGTTCTAAGGCAAAAAAAAAAAAAAAAAAAAAAAAAAAAAAATCCATTATTTGCTTTTATTTTATCTTTTAGCTTTCATTTACTGCTGTTTTAGTGGAATCACAAATGTAATATTTTCCGTCTGACTTACTCTAGAATATGCAAAAATAGCGTTTGACTAAGATTGCCCTTGACCCCAGGGGAAGGTAAAAGCCACTCTGAACCTCTAAAGTGGCAAATATTTGCATGCTGATATATCCGGATATCAAAATTGAGGACCAGGTATATATTTACACCTTTTTTTCTTAGCAAATGGCCACAGGTCAAGGTCAATACACATTTTGGGTCACTAATATCCTCTTTGTTAAGTATGAACTTCTGGTACCTTTTCAAAACTACAACATGAACAACAATCGAGGAAACAACAGAAAAAATACACACCGTCCTTTTTTTGTATTCATATGAAGCAGAATTTGTCCAAAATCTTGTACGTGAAAAGAAGAAAACACTTGCTGTGACCTTCAACTCGACATTTAGATATATCAACGACGTATTGTCAATTAACAATGGGTATTTTCATTCTTATGTCGATACGATATATCCTTGTGAGCTTGAGAAAAAAGATACCACAGAGTCTGACACATCTGTTTCATATTTGGATATTTTACTTGAAAAAGACGTTAATGGTAATCTTACAACCAAGCTTTATGATAAACGTGATGACTTTAACTTTTCAATCGTCAACTTCCCTTACCTTACTTATGCAGCAATATACCTTCATCACCTGCATACGGGGTATATATCTCTCAGTTGATTCGATAAGCAAGAGCATGCTCTACGTACGTACAATTTCTAAAACGAGGTAAATTATTGACAAACAAGTTCATGAAACAAGAATATCAGCTGTCTGGTTTAAAGTCATCATTTCGTAAGTTCTATGGTCGATACAATGACCTTGTCAGCAAATACAATATATCATTGAGTCAAATGCTGACTGACGTTTTTCATACAAATTGTTAGGCCATTATTTACACACTGAATTGTCGACGGATTTTTCCTTTATTTCCCGATCATGACAAGGAGCACACGGCGGGTGTGACCAGTCGGCAGGGGATGCTCACTCCTCCATGGCACCTGATCCTACCACCTGATGTTTGGAGGTCCGTGTTTGCCCTGCTCCTATTTTGTATTGTTTGATGGACTTTTGAGCCTGAATACTGTTCGTTATCTTCATACATTTCACCAAAAGATCGTATGAGTGACTGGAGAATATTAAGGAGCAAAACAATGACATACCTTGTGATAAAGATGAGATTAATCAGGATAAATAGAACTTTAATAAAAGCAAAGGTTACACGAGAACCTGTTTAATCTTCAGCATCATGTTATCATTTAAATATCTAAAAATGCTTATATATCTGTAATGGGAATGGAAGAGACAATAGTAGAAATAGTAGAATAGTGAAATCCAAGGAAGAAAATTTGGGAGAACATGATGCTCAAAGAAAGTCTCCGACACATGGAAGAAATGGCTTGTTTTCTTTTAATTCTGAAGAAATATAATTAACAGAGATTTAAGATGTCTTTTATAATGATTTATAAAAAGGGAAATGCTTTCTCGCAAATTTCCTCCTTAGAGATTATTCTTCTTTATCCTTAACGAACAAGATTTAAAAAAAAAACCATTTATCGATGACTTTTGTTTGATTATTTAAGATTTTTTAAAAACAAATCTATTCTGTGCCAATTTAAAGCCCAAACTATAAAACCTGTTAGAGTTCTTTCATCTTGTAATCTTTGGCGTAGTTACAATTGTTCTCGGAAAATTACAAATCTCTTTGAAATTTACACGCTTTCCCATATTTATGGAATTTATTGTTGATTAATACTTGGAATACTTCATGCCTGGGAACTCGAGTCTGCATTCTATTTTTCGTAAACATTGTTTTTATTTATAGATGTATTAAAATTAGAAAACAGGCTAAATCAATGAACGACCTTTCCATTTACTCTTTCATAATATGTTGCTAGATTTTATCCACAAATTTGCAATTTTTAGCCTAAGTAGATATCTAAATATTCGCTTAGTAAGAATCGCATATCAAGTAACTGCAACTCAGTAATGTTGCAAATATTGTTACGGGACGAATATTTCAATCATTCATTTCAAAGAAATTGAATTAGCTCGATATCTGTAAATTTTTACAAATACACGCTTACCACAATTGGTTTTCTTAACCCCACTGAAATCTGTAATTTAATTTTTTTATTGTTATACTGTGTCTTCTTACCATAAACTTCAAATTCACAGAGTTCATTAAATGCGTGAAGGGAATATCCAGAACGGTGTTTCTTTCTTCTCTCATTATAATAAATAACATATTGTCCATGATGTACGCATTCTATGGTAATAACATTCGGTATTGTGCTTCTGGAATATGTTGTGTCCTTATAACATAGAGTTCCTTCATCTTTGTCAGTTGTGTTAGATATGTAAACTGAGAATCCAAGGAACCGGGCTGTGTATCCATTGGTTGAGTCTAGTAAAATCAACTAAGCCATCAGTTGATGTGTGATGGTATTTGTTTTTTTTAAACTTACAACCTCTATAAAACTGAAAAGCACGTACCTGTTCGATACAAAAAAAAAAAAAAAACAAAAAACCAACAACAACAACAACAAAAAAAAAAAAACAAAAACAAAACAAAACAAAAAAACAAAACAAAACAAAAAACAAAAAACAAAAACAAAAAACAAACAAAAAAACAACAACAAACAAACAAAACAAAACAAATCAAAACAAAACTAACAAACTACTAACTCGAAATAAGTTATCGCTTGACATTGTCAGACTGTTATTGACATCAATATGACTTTTAAAATAAGATTTTGATATATGATTACGCTTCACCAAGCAAGGGTATTATTTATTGATATACTATGTAGTGACTTCAAAGATAAATGCTAGACAAAATATGCACCTTCACTGAATTAGCGACCTTACCTTTGATGTCATGATCTAGAAGATTCCGTGTGTAATGTATTGAGACTTAAAATATCTAAAATTTTCCAATGAGACTCACTCGTTATATTATTCATCTTAATTGCATAAAAATAATTTTATTTTACAAAATTGTGAGTCCAAGATGGATCCTAGTCCGAAATATTCATGTAGTAAAATGTGATAAAATTCAAAGTTTGTTTTTTCTAAGATAGCCACCTGGAAAGTGACAATTTATTTCTTGATTAGAAAGTAATACTTGACTATTCAACGCTTTCCATGTCCAAGGTGACTTCTTGTGAAATCAATGAGGGTGGACTGTTCTTGCATAGGTATTTCTTAAACTTAATTTTCGGTAAATAGTACCGAGATCTACAAAACTTACAAACCACTTGTCAATCAAAACCATCAATTAAAACCAACCAAATCATGTCGAGTACCTGAAGATCACGCTTAATGGCAAATATAACAAAGAGGGGTTATATAAGATTTGTGGATTGATGATAAATACTACTTAGTTGTTGCTTCCAAAAATTATAGGGAACAAAAAATAACAGTTTAAGGACAGATGATACAAGCAAACTTTCATCAATAAATAGAAAAAGAAAAACAAAACTTAAGTCATGTTAATATAATTTAAAATAAACAAGTTTAACCGCATCGGTTTTAATTTTTCATTGAAATTTTTAGAGTTATGGGATTTGAAGTGACAAAAATTTGCATAGATTAAAAAGGATGGTTACAGAAAGGTAGAATTTTGAAAATCATAGAAGGTTTACAATTTCTTATTATTTTACAAATTTATTACTTGCATCATTTTCAATAAAATTAACCCACCAAAAATATACTAATACAGGCATCCATTTTTTGGTACCATCTGTCACTTAAGAGGTGTTGAAAATTTAAGCTTGATACTTTGCCAATTTAACATTGAATACAGAAGACATCGTTTGATCACCTGGTGCCTGCCGTTGAGTTTCATGACGTCTGACAACGTCATTGTTTCTCAATGTCCCCTCCCTCTGCCCCAATACACTTTTCTTGATGATATTCCCTAAAGATAAGTAAGGTTTGAAACCAATTTTTTAAAAATATATTTTTTAACAATGTCATTAACAGCTGATTTCTATGCAAAATATAACAAATGGATCGATACACATGTAAAGATCCTCACTGACTTATTTCAGCATAATTTGCTCGACGAAGTTCAATGTCTTCCATATGAGCATCATCACTTTTAGACGTGACTGACTCTGAACATCCGGACGACAAATCAAAGTATCTCCTCTCTCTGAGCCTTTTTCGGCATTTAGAACAGGTACTCTTTACCCATTTTTTTTTCGTTGTAGCCTATTTTAACATCTCCTAGATCTATGTAATTGTTTTTCAGAGGTAAAACTTTAATGACATCCCTCTCCCCTACTTGTTATTTTAACCCCTTTATCGTTTTGGCTTTCCATATAAAATAAATGATGATACTTTATAGAACTAACAGAATAAAGCAAAAATTGCAGTTTTTATGGAACAATTGCGTCATACAACATGAGTGAATAAACATGATTATTTGATGACAAATGCTCATATCAAAGTTTTTCTCCATTAGATTCTCGAAGAAACTACTTTGTATTTTTAGGTTGCACTACCAGGACATACCATTACTTTCAAAGCATAAACAATTAATTTTAAAAAAAATTAAAAACTTATGATTTATAGCTTATTCTGTAGATAGAAAAAATGATGATAACTAAATGTGTAAAAATTCTTAATGTCCTTCAAGTCTACGAACTTTCTGATAAACCCTCGTATATATTATATTGAATCAAACAAAGAAAGTAATAATTAGATTTTTTTCTTTAAAATACATGGAATCTGAGTTACATGTATCTATGTACTAACTGATACTTGCAATAACACTTACCTAGTAAATCGGGTAGTCAACTATAACTTAAACGTTGTTCAAATAGGATTTTTTGAAAGCCAAAATTAACATGAACTAAAACACTTCTCTCAAAGTACCCATTGAAAGTGGTGTCATTTGATATAGATTTTTAAGCAAAAACCTCCATGACATGCTGAACATATCCCAAAATGTTTGGTTGTGTGCATTTTTATTTGTTCGGAACTGAATTTTCATGACAAAAAATTATTTTTTAAGGATATAAACAAACATTTCTCATAATTGAATGGATATGATTGCTAACAATAATAATAATGCACAACAGCATTACTTATTCTCAATCATCTTTCAAGCATTATCTTGGAAGAAATAACATGGTCATTATTACATGAACAAATGAATTCAATTTACCTTGAACTACTTTAAAAAGAAAAGAATTCATTAATACAGTACCCCATGGGACATCGTCCGTCCTATAATATATAGTTATATGATGTATACTGAATATTCTTCCAAGATCCACCCACCAGGTTGCAGTTCGTTTTTTATCGGCCGATATCGTACATTGTCCTCCTTCAGCAGATCGTTTTGAAAATCGTCCATCGACAGCTTTATCCGCTCCCCATCTCAACGTAGAAAAGGGAAACTGTTGCCAGGCAGACTTGTTTAATGCAATGTTTTCTGAAAAAAAAAATGGTATGTATATCATTCAGATTTACTCATATCGGAATCTTTGACGATTTGATAAGACACCAATAAATATAGTTTTATAGAGAAATGGAAAGGGGATAACGGATTCTCGAGAAGATCATAATCACAAATTTTAAATGACAACATCCTACAGTGGATTGTACTCAGATTTGCTGAATGGCTGGTCATCGATATCTGAATTAAGCATACCAAGTAATGCGTAAGAATGTAAAGAAAATAGAAGAAAGGGAGAGGAAAAAAAAAACTTTTTTTAAAGAATTATTTATTTTTCATTGATCACCACTAGAGTAGTGTAATTGGCCTTATGTTCCAAATGTGTTTTATTTGAGTCATATCGATATTTACATTGTATTCTATATTGAAAAAGCGAAATTGAAATTTATTTTAAATCGAATTCGGGGAAAAAATTGTAAAACGAATCTTCATCCCTTATGTTTCATCCCCCATGCTTCATTTCTTCGCATCAAATATATATATATATATATATATATATATATATATATATATATATATATATATATATATATATATATATATATATATATATATCAAACAATGTTTTAAAGATTATAAGATATAGTTTATATTACTTACATTTTTGAAAATCGGCACAGTATTATTAACATAGGAATGGCACTTTCAGAAACTTTGATTAAAAAACAGAAGTAAACTACATTATTGCAAACTCATGCACATATATTTGGACACATACACACCCTCACACACACACACACACACACACACCCTCCCTCACACACACACACACACACACACACAGAGAGAGAGAGAGAGAGAGAGAGAGAGAGAGAGAGAGAGAGAGAGAGAGAGAGAGAGAGAGAGATGACTAAATAATGTTTAGGTGAAAATTCCTTTGAACGAAAAGTTAGGTATCTTACCGTAAGCAGATGCTAGATTTCCTTTCATCAATATCAATCTAATAAGAAAATAAAACATCGCCAATCTCGCATTCATATTCATTGATTTTCTTATTACCAGGGATTAAATTCCTATATCATCAATAATCTCTCATATGCATAGTTATTGATTCTCGCTGGTTTATAAATTCACGATGGAAGTAAACCAAGTATTTTATCTTTGTTGAAAACACAAAAACAAAATAGGAAATTTATGAAAGTGAAAATTACACGTTCTAGAGCCAATCGCCAATACTTTTTAATCAGAGTTTTAAAACAATTCTAATTTTCCTTATTCTATCTTCCCCTTGATGATATTTTTACATTAAAGCATTTTACGTCTAGCATGTCATTGAAAGCACTTTTCCATTTTTTAAAAAAAGAATTAGCATCCTGCTTTAGTGTTTTACACACCCCTTGCTTAGCCTATACATATGATTGTTTTAAATTTTTGTAGATCTCTTACTCAGAATAAGAGGAAGTACAACATTTTATATATAAAAAAAGATACAATTCATAGAAATGTGTAACGTAACCATTAAACAACACATTTATCATTTCCAACTTCATTCTACTGATACAAGATCTATTTACTGTGTATAACTATTTCATTAAATGTGGGGGGGGGGGGGGAGTTTAATTCAATTTTCCTAGTCGTTGTTTTGATGGGGCAAGGCTTTATAAAAGTTGAATCTTGAATAAACATTTTCAATTTTCAAATTCTGATTCAAAGAATTGAAGTAATAACTTTGAGATGAAAGGAACAACAAAAACAGGGAAAAAAAAAAACTTATGCGTCCTTGTGAACCCTTATATTTTCTATTACATTAAGTGTTATATATCTTCGTATCCGACAAATTAATATTAGTTCACGGATGTTAATTCCTGTACTCGATTAACTAAAACTTGACAGGTGCTAAATATATTTTCTAAAGTATATGACATTTTACGCTTGTACATATAACATGTGCAATGTGAATATAATGCGAAAAGCTAACAATAAAAAATATTCCTTAATGTGTCGTTTACAACAAGTTTTTTTTTTAATTATGCATTTTATATTCGTCCTGTTTTTGGTCAATGACTCGTTTGTAAAAGTGGTTAGATTATTTTTTTTTTTCATTTTTGGAACGACAATCCCACTCGTAAATTGTACAACTGCTAAAGTTCCTTTTTCTCATTCTTTCCAGTTTTTTGGCATATGCTTTAGTGAACGTTGTTTCAAAAGACAGAGAGAGAGAGAAATAAACTTCTTTTCTATTTTTAATTGTGTACTTACCAATGTCTTCCTAAATGTGATAAAGACGAAAAACAATATATATTTTTTTCTAATTTTAATTTGAAAACGGTTTCACAGTTGTACACATAACGGAAAACACGTATTACGTCTATCATGGTCGCCCGCGTGGCGCAGTGGTTAGAGCGTCTGCTCTAGAGTCGCGAAGTAAGGCGTTGATTCTTACGTCGCGGGTTCGAATCCCACTGTGGGACGTGGAGACCGGTCCTTCGGATGAGACCGTATAAACCGAGGTCCCGTGTAGCAGTAGGTGCTGGCACGAAAAAGATCCCTCACTGCTCAATGGCCGTAAGTGCCGAGTATGGGACAAAATTTGCAGCTCTCCACCGGCAAGTGGTGGCGTCTCCATATGAGTGGAAAATTCCCGAGAGGGACGTCAAACAACAAACAAACAAACAAACAAACAAACAAAACGTCTATCATGTATGACTAACTACATTCTCAAATTGTGATAGACTGTTGTGGAGAACACAATGGATTTGCACATCATATGTCACGTGTTACCTAGCCAGAGAAAGATATTCTAAATTAATTAATATTGAAAAAGTACGTAAATTTGAGGTTTTTTTTTTAACCATTTATGCCTCTTCTTTATACAATCACACTTCAGTCAATGATATAATCATTCAGTATATCTTGTCACAAACTCGTTCATACACTCACACACTCACACTACAATACTTGGTACGGATACACTAGAATACTAAATACAGACTACACTTCATGATACAAACACGCCACAAAACGACAAAATGTTTTGGTAAAAATTGGTATATACGTACATGTATAATAAACGCATACAATATATAAAAACAGTATGTATATTTGACATTTCTTTTTCTGATTAGTATATTACTGTGTCGATGGTAAGGTACCGGATCTAGTCAAGTAACTAAGGATCAAAATCATCAACTGTTACGACTACATCCCGGCAACCGCGGATCCAGGAATTTTTTCCAGAGATTTCTTGAAAAAAAAAACCCGGAAACTACTTTCCCAAACTTCATAAACCTATTTCGTAGGGGGGGGGGGGGGGAGTAGTCGTTGACTTCTAAAGCTTCAGTACAAATCACATTTCATACCAATTATCACAGGTCCCCAATTTCAAGAGAGAGGGGGGTCCGAGTTTTCCAAAGGGGGTCCAATGTTATTTTTTACTTGGTTAAGTATATACATTTAATAAATGCAAATTCGGAGGGGGTTCTGGACCCCCTTTCGACCCCCCTCCCCCGTCTAGATCGGCACATGGTCCCGGTGACAAAGAGTAAGTGGGAAAATCATACGTTATTCTTTTCTTTTATTTTTGGTTCATAATCTCAAGAGTTTGACAAAAAATCGATTAGAAACACGAAGATCTTTTTAAAAAATCAAGGTTAGCAAACTCTTGTTAATGAATTTTGATGTAAAGATTTAACAGCGGACACGCATTGAATTTCCCTGAGAGCTATGGAGAACTATGGTAAACTCTTGTAAAGATCAAGGGTCTGCTAGAAGAAACACAGGAAACGTGCTTAAGGTTTTGTGATTTTTTTTATTGGTATACAATTTCTGACTTTTTTTAACTGGAGTGGAAGCAAATGAACTGGAAGACCATAATTTACGTCGGATTGGTGTATAAACACAATGACAGAACAATCAAAAGAAGGATCTGCTTTATGGTAGATTTGATCACATGCCAACCCGTATTTACATCCCAATAAAACTTTTAAAATTATACCTTATTACTTATATTTGTGATTGATTTATTACAGATTGTAAGGTACTAAACTTTTTAACCCATATATGATTTTTGTTTTCAAAACTCAACGGTATAACATGAATGTGTTGAACACGTCGATCATTTATGACGTCACTATAAAATTACGTAGATCGTTTATATGTCTAAACACTCAATTTATGGTCACATGACGAACTTGTTTTACACAGGTGTAAACACGCCTTGTTCAAATAGTGTTATATAAGGGAAAACATTTGCAAATGTAAATATATTTAAATGAAATGAATTTCAAGCAATACACTGAGATAATGCTCTTCCTGTACAGGCCGTTTATAGCGAGAAAAATTAATTTGAAAAATTTACATTTGGTTTGGATAACGCAGTTCCAGCTCAATGAATTAATTTTTTTTTTGATTTTTTTTTTCTCGCAAGAAAAATTCTTCATCAATAACAATTTCACTTAAGCATTGCAATTACATTTTTGCTCATTAATTTCAATCATTAAGTAAAATTCAGCTTTACATGTATAAAATAAATTCAAGTACATGTATATTGATAATAAATGGAAAAGAATGTCTATGACTTCTGTGTTGAATTTGTGAGATTTAAATTGATATGTAATGGATATATGCCGAATACTGTTCTATATATAAAATTATCAGACTGTTTGAGGCCCGTTAGGGCCGAAAACAGTCTGATAATTTTACTTAAAACATTGCTGTGACGTCATGCCTTTGTTCTTGCAGTCTAAAAATTTACCTGTAGCCGTCCGATAATAATAATTAGCAGTCCAATAACATGTTATCGGACGGCAGTGATAACAAAATTGGACAGTAGTTAAAAAACAACAACTAGAGTGAAATCAAGGTTTAAATTGTCCAGAAACCAAAAAAAAAAGTTAGGGAGAAAAAATTCAGGGAAAGCGAACGCGAGGAAATTAAGTTGTTAAAAATAGCAAATCCAAGACGAAACTGGAGTTTTAACCTTCCTCAAAAGTAACACTTTCCATTCGGTTTATTGCAAAGCGTTTTCGATACAGCACTGTGAATAAGCCAATTTAAATCCATTTCTGATAAAGAACCAGTCTGCGAATCTCTTCATTTAACGAGGTTTGTTCGCCAATGACCGCACTTTTAAACCCAAGATTTTCATTATATCATCCAATCAAAATTTTAGATAAAAATCCGCATTTTTACTCTAAATGCATTTTGAAGATATCATCCAACACTGTATCTGTATCAATGTCAAACGCACCTAATGAAAAAAATATTCCGAATCATAAAAAAACCCTTCATCCCCTGACCACTGTCCATAGTTCCTGCTAAGCCAAACGACTGCCATTGAATGAATGAAACAAAAGAGTTCACTCACTGATTTTATTGTCTAAAGAAAAAAAAAAAACTTTCTCTTTTCTTTTGTCTACTTATTAGATGGTTTCAGGTAGAAAACTATTGATGCCTGAACTCCTATTGTGTAATTATCAGACTCCTCCAGGTAACTTTTGGACATTTAAATAGCAATGTTTTAAGTAAGATATATGCCTCATACAATTCTATATGTAAAATTATCAGACTGTTTTCGGCCCTAACGGGCCTCAAACAGTCTGATAATTTTACATATAGAACAGTATTCGGCATATATCCATTACATATAGAATTGTATGAGGCATATATCTTACTTAAAACATTGCTATTTAAATGTCCAAAAGTTACCTAGAGGAGTCCGATAATTACACAATAGGAGTTCAGGCATCAATAGTTTTCTACCTGAAACCATCTAATCAGTAGACAAAAGAAAAGAGAAAGTTTTTTTTTTCTTTAGACAGTAAAACCAGTGAGTAAACTCTTGTTTCATTCATTCATTCATTCAATGACAGTCGTTTAGTGTAGTAAGAACTATCGACAGTGTTTAGGTGATGAAGGAATTTTTTTTATGATTCGGAATATTTTTATCATTAAGTGCGTTTGACATTGATACAGATACAGTGTTGGATGATATCATCAAAATGCATATAAAGTAAAAATGCGGATTTTTATCCAAAATTTTGATTGGATGATATAATGAAAATATTGGGTTTCAAAAGTGCGAACAAACCTCGTTAAATGAAGAAATTTGCAGACTGGTTCTTTATCAGAAATGGATTTAAATTGGCTTATTCACAGTGCTTTATCGAAAAAGCTTTGCAAAAAAACCGAATGGAAAGTGTTACTTTTGGGGAAGGTTAAAACTCCAGTTTCTTCTTCTTGGATTTGCTATTTTTAATAACTTAATTTCCTCGCGTTCGCTTTCCCTTAAATTTTTTTCTCCCTAACTTTTTTTTGGTTTCTGGACATATTAAACCTTGATTTCACTCTAGTTGTTGTTTTTTATCTACTGTCTGATTTTGTTATCACTGCCGTCCGATGATATATTATTGGACCGTTAATTATTATTATCGGACGGCTACAGGTAAATTTTTAGACTGCAAGAACAAAAGCATGACGTCACAGCAATGTTTTAATATAGAGAAACAATTTTTTCACTCAAATTACCATATTGCTTATTTATGAAATATTAGGAGATAACGAACAGTATTCAAACTCAACGAAATAACGAACAGTATTCAAACTCAAAGTCCATTAAACAATACAAAATAGGAGCAGAGCAAACACGGACCTCCAAAACATCAGAGGTGGGATCAGGTGCCATGGAGGAGTGAGCATCCCCTGCCGACCGGTCACACCCGCAGTGTTCCCCTTGTCATGATCGGGAAATAACGGAAAAATCCGTCGACAATTCAGTGTGTAAATAATGGCCTAACAAATTAGTTTGAAAAACGTTTGTCAGCATTTGACTCAATGATAAATTGTATTTGCTGACAAGGTCATTGTATCGACCATAGAACTTACGAAATTATGACTTTAAACGAGACATCTGATATCTTTGTTTCATCAACTTGTTCATCAATAATTTGCCTCGTTTTAGAAATTGTACATACGTAGAGCATGCTCTTGCGTATCGAATCAACTGAGAGATATATACTCTGTATGCAGGGAATGAAGGTATATTGCTGCATAAGTAAGGGAAGTTGACGATTGAAAAGTTAAAGTCATCACATCATTTTATCATAAAGCTTTGTTGTTAAATTACCATTAACGTCTTTATCAAGTTAAATATCCAAATATGAAACAGATAAGTCAGACTCTGTGGTATCTTTTATCTCAAGCTCACCGGGATATATCGTATCGATATAAGAATGGAAATAACCATTGTTAATTGACAATACGTCGTCGATATATCTAAATGTCGAGTTGAAGGCCACAGCAAGTGTTTTTTTTCACGTATAAGATTTTTTGACAAATTGTGCTTCATATGAATACAAAAAGGTCTGCTAATAACGGGGCGCAATTGGTACCCATGGGAATTCCGATAGATTGTTGGAAGATCTGGTCTCCTGAAACAACATAGATATTGTCAATAAGAAACTCAAGCATTTTTAAAATGTCAACTTCAGAGTACTTGTGTGTACAATCATAATGTCTTTTAACAAAATAATTTTGCAAATGACCACTGACAAGGTTAGTAAATTCACGAGTTCCATTTTTGTTGAAAAAGCAGCTGTCAAGGATATCAAAACGCTTGAAATTTAATTTATCATTCGGAATGGTTTTGTAAAAAGTTGAAAGGTCGTAAGTTTTTAAGCTGTTGATTTTGGTAAAATCTTGTGATTTCAGACTTTCCAAAAGTTCCTTGAAATTTTTAAGTATCCACATCTGATTTACACCACTTCTCGAATATATTGTTGCACAGTACTTTTGAAGTTTCTCCTTCACTACTGTTAATATCTTGGTAAAGAGTAAAGAAAGAGGCTTGGTTGAACATTTACTGGAACCCGCTATGTATCTTTGTTTGTAAGGAATTTTATGAAGTTTCGGAATCCAATATAAACTATTGTAAAAATATATATTTATAAAAAGTATAAATATGGTAATTCAAATTCATTTTGGTTGTTTGGAATATTAAAAATATTCAAAACTGACATATGATTTTGAAGAATGTCTCCCTTAAAAAGGGAACAATGAGTATAAGTTGGATTACCACTTGTAGAATTAAATCCAAGGTCCTCTAAAATACATTTAATATTATGAGCCTTACAAAGAAAGACAATATTGTTACCTGCTTTGTCAGCAGGGATCAGTACGTACTGATCATTTAATCTATCTAATTCTTTTTTCACTTCTGGATTATTGAATACAGAAGGATAGATGACTCTCATATTGCCCCTCAATCTTTTAATGCGCGATTTTAGCATACATCTGATACATTTAATCCATTCTGAAAATGTGTCAAGGTCTTCTTTTTCATGTTTGGCAAATCGCCTGGCGTAATCCTCTACAGAACCCATAATATTTATGAAATTCCGACGCCAGTTGAAGGACCGGGGTTCTCTATATTTAAGACCTTTTCAAAGTAGTGATCTAAGGTCCTCATTATTAACTATGTTTAAGTCACCAGTAATAACGTGTCCAGCAGGACTATAGTTATAGGGTGAAGAAGAACATGAGCACGATGGAGGATTATGTTTCAGATATTCAATATCCAGGCCCTGTAAAGTTTTCTTGTAATTAAAAAGTTTGGAAGAAATAGTCGATGTATTTATTTATTTTTAAATTTAATTTACATGTAAATCGCAGATTTTGTATCACACCATTACATATCAAATGATCGTTTAAAAAGTTTATGTGTAACAAATGCCTGGTTAACTTCACACTAATGTAACTGGTCATAAAATGAAGGTTGACTAAATTGCCCCAGTTCCTGATATCCTGCGTTGTCTTCAGATTTGTCATACATATCTCCCCTTGGCCCCAGTTCTCCCAGTTCTTGATATCCGCCATTGTCGCTAATCTTATCATAAATCTCTGTGTCAGGTTTGGTTTGTTCTTTTGACAACTGTTTGATAGTTTTTCTCGTGGTGGTTTTGTCCTTTGCTCACCTTATTTCTTCAAGGAAAAAAAATAAATAAATAAAAATAATAATGAAAATAAAAATTAAAATACAAAAAAAAAATACAAAAAAAAAAAAAATAAATAAATAAATAAATAAAATAAAAATAAAAATAAAAAAAAGGCTTCTCTCCTATTTCTTGAGTTTTAATCAGCAGTGCTAATATGCCATTTTGTTATCTTTATGACTTCATAATGTTGCAGGACGTTTTTGAGTTTGCCTCTGCTTATTTTATTTAGGGGTCTTGTTTTACAAAAACAAAGTTTAAAAAAACCCAAAAAACATTGCTCTATATGACGATCTAGATTTAGTAAACGTAAAACAAGAGGCCCATGGGCCATATCGCTCACCTGAGCACATTGGCTATGAAAAAAAAGCAAAAATCAATTCAGTATTGAAAAGTTTAGGGGGGGGGGGTGGTTGAATTTTAAACTACCTGATGATGCTTTCATATCAATATAACAAATGGCTTTGCTGTTCTTGCTTTTTTCCCATATATTCATTTGTAAAAAATTGATTCCTTATTGTGGCCCCACTCTACCCCCGGGGGCCCTCATTTGAACAAATTTAATTCTACACTACCCAAGGATGCTCCATATCAATTTGACTAATCATGGCTTTTCTGTTCTTGAGAAAAAGATTTTTTCCTCAAAATTCCTTTGTAAACTTTGATCACCCATTGTGGCCCCACCCTACCTCCGGGGTTCATGATTTGAAAAAAACCTGAATCTACACTATCTGAGGATGCATAGAAATATGACCAATCATGGACTTGCTGATCTTGAGAAGAAGATTTTAAAAGTTTTTTTTTTCTATTTACTCTTATGAAAAACTTTTTGTGGCCCCATCCTATCCCGGGGGGGGGGGGGGGGGGGCATGATTTTAACTAACTTGAATCTACACTACCTGAGGATGCTTCCATATAAATATGACTAATCATGGCTTTGCTGTTCTTAAGAAGAAGATTCTTAAAGATATTTTCCTATATATTTCTATGTAAAACTTTGATCCCCATTGTGGCCCCGACCTACCCCCGGGTGTCATGATTTGAACTAACTTGAATCTAAACTACCTGAGGATGCTTCCAATAAATATGACCAATCATGGCTTTGCTGTTCATAAGAAGAAGATTCTTTAAGATATTTTCCTATATATTTCTATGTAAAACTTTGATCCCCCATTGTGGCCCCACCCTACCCCCGGGTGTCATGATTTGAACAAAATTGAATCTACACTACCTGAGGATCCTTCCAAATAAATATTACCAATCATGGCTTTGCTGTCCTTAAGAAAAAGATTTTTAAAGATATTTTCCTATATATTTCTGTGTAAAACTTTGATCCCCATTGTGGCCCCACCCTACCCCCGGGTGTCATGATTTGAACAAAATTGAATCAACACTACCTGAGGATGCTTCCATATAAATATGACTAATCATGGCCTTGCTGTTCTTAAAAAGAAGATTTTTAAATATATTTTCCTATATATTTCTATGTAAAACTTTGATCCCCCATTGTGGCCCCACCCTACCCCTGGGGGTCATGATTTGAACAAACTTGAATCTACACTACCTGAGGATGTTTCCACATAACTTTCATCTTTCCTGGCCCAGTGGTTCTTGAGAAGAAGATTTTTAAATGATGTCATTAATTTTTCACGAATTCCTAATTATCTCCCCTTGAAAGAAGGCGTGACCCTTCATTTGAACAAACTTGAATCCCCTTCACCCAAGGATACTTTGTGGCAAGTTTGGTTGAATTTGGCCCAGTGGTTCTAGAGAAGAAGTCAAAAATGTGAAAAGTTTACAGACAGACAGACGGACAAAATTTGATCAGAAAAGCTCACTTGAGCCTTCGGCTCAGGTGAGCTAAAAAGTATAAAACTTACAAACATCAAAAGATAACTGGATTTAAAAAAAAAAAAAGAACTCTATTTATATAGCATATGTGCAAATGTACATTTGTACCTTATATAAACAATGACAAATACGACAACAGCCAGGCTCACAATAATGGCGGTCACGACTCCTCCTATGATAGGGGCAGTGTTGGTCTCTGGTACAACTGAAACACTCACCTGTACAATAGAGTAAAGAATGCATAGACCAAACAAGAGGCCCAAGGGCCTTAACGGTCACCTGAGTATTATACAACACTGTAAAGGATCCATAGAAGTATAAAATAAAATTTACTGACAGATGAAGCAATGTTGCCCAAGAATTTCAAAAATCTGGTAAAAATACCCTTGCTTATTGTAATGTTCCAGACTCAAGTGATCTCCTTGAGATCATTCTTGGTTTTCCAAAGTCTTACAGGGATGATAATGAATGTAAAATATAAAAAATACAATGGACACTTGCATATTGTGTAAGGTACTCAATATATACAGATATGTTTTTGTCACTTGCCTAGTGCTACAATTCAGTACACACAGACTTGGGTATACAATGTGGCTATTTGCCACTTGTCACTATCTACAATAAGTCATCCCGGCTCTCTTTGATTCTTTGTTCACTTTGATGGAGCATAAAATAACTATATCCTGTTTCTTGACAACCATGACTCTTCTACCACTGACAATATATTAGATCACCTCAGTGAAGACATACAATGTACAGTTACAACTTTTGCTAAGTATATAAATAATCTTTATGTCAATTTTTTATATCGCTTTTCAGGCAAGAATCTGACTTTGAGCATGCTTTGCTCATTTAAACCAAACATTCATTTTTATTTTGTTTCTATATATATAACATTCTTTCTTGTATTCTCATTCAATCAAATAACCTGTTAATTAAAGTATATACAAATATTTCTTGATTAACAACATTTAGCAAAGGGGAGTAACTCTCATTTGCTTCACTTATCCCAATTGTGTACTCTGTTTGCCTCTTACATACCCAGAAGCAAAGAAAAGGCACATTTAATTATAATTATATCTAATACATTTACATTGATATTATTGCATTTAGTTTGCTTAGTACTCAGGGGCAGAGGAGAAGATTTTGAAAACATCAATGCAGTTTTGCTAATTAATCAATAGAGCCCCACCCAAGCGCAAGAACCCCTGACCCAGGGGCCATGAAATTCTTAATTTTGGAAGAGGCATCCTTTCTCATCATGGCCATGTATTTAGTTTGTTTAATTAATACCAAGGGGCAGAGGGGAAGATTTTCAAAGCATTAATTTACTTTCAGTATATAATAAATAAACACCCCCCTCACCACCCCCAAATGGAACCCCTGACCCAGGGGCCATGAAATTCATAATTTTGGAAGAAGCACTCTTCCTGATCATAACTATGTACTTTATTCATCAGCTTAAAACCCAGGAGCAGAGGAGAAGATTTTCAAAGAATTAATGCATTTTCACTATATGATCATTAGAGCCCCGCCCTAACACCAGAACCCCGACCCTGGGGCCATGAAATTCATAATTTTGGAAGAGGCACTCTTCCTTATCATAACTATGTACTTAATTCATCGGCTTTATACCCAGGAGCAGTGGAGAAGACTTTCAAAGAATAAATGCATTTTCACTATATAATCATTAGAGCCCTGTCCTACAGTGCTGCTATCCTATAAGTTGACAATCCTATCCTATCCTATCGTGAATCCTGCGTCCACAATCCTATCCTGTGATTTCAGTCTAATCCTATCCTATCCTGCCAGTTTTTTAATATTTAGGAGTTAATCTGACAAAACGAAAAAAGAAAAAAAATAATAAAATGACCATCATATAAAAAATCAGTTATAATTATGGATTTTATTTAATATGTTTTAATGATAAAAAATAATCGAGATCGAAATCCATTAATTCCCGATACCCCGCACGAATTAATTTTCGAGTACCCAGTTAAAATGTAAACAAAGGGACTGTAATAAAACATAAGCAAGTACTGATCTAGCGAACGTGTAAAGAAAGTAAGCTTTCAAAATAATTATAGAAAAAAAATTATAATCCGACTTTATTTTGATTTAATTTCACATACTAACGATGATCGAGAGACGTCACGGTATTTGTGATTTCTTTTCGAATTTATACACTTTGATAAATAAATGGGGTTAAAGTTAGAGAGGGCAAATCGTGGAAAAAGAGGGGGAAAACAACAACTAAGACTTCAGATACTTTTCTAATGTTATGATTATTAATACGTAGACTAAACGAACAAAATTTAAGCTCTTTAATTATAAGAATCAGACTATTAATGTCTATACCTTCATGCGGGGAAGGTACAACACTGTATAATAACTGTTCCCGTTGAAAATACAATTTCTCTACACATACTGAATAATAAAAAAGGAGGATATGTTGGATGTTTTAACAGTTATATGTTTCATGTCAAATTTATGCAAAACTCTATTTTTCCCTAAAATGTAAACTGAGCACCATAAAAATAATACGTGACTGTATATATACCTAACTTAGATTTTATTTATACTCATGTAAATCCAGAAAGAAGATACATATATGAAAAGACCATAAACCGAGAACAGATATTTAGAATATCTTGACTTTTATTTATTAAACATGTAAAAAATTATTTAAATGTATTCTTGTTTGAGATGTTCAGTTCCTCATTGTTTGAATTTGGATATTTTACAAACATGCAAAAACTTTAACATGTTTGCTAAATAAAAATCAAGATATTCAAAATGTTAAATTTTCTTATTTCACTTATCTTTGTTTTTAGTTTATGGTCAATTCAGTGTCATACAAATGTATTTCAATAACATATTTTTATGAGTGAGAAGTTAATTTATGTTTCACAGAAAACATTTTCATAGTCACATAGATTGACAGCAATAATTATTGCAGTGAACACACACATATTCCTTCGAAATCTTTCTTATAAAACATGTATATGAATTCACAGTAGTTTCAGTATTTAT